GTCCTGTGTGGGTGGGGGTGTGATGGTGTCCTGTGTGGGTGGGGGTGTGATGGTGCCCTGTGTGGGTGGGGGTGTGAGGTTTCTCCTTTCTTGCTGCATTTATCGTTAACTTCAGCTGCTCCTCCGATGATGTCATTCGCCACTCACAGCTTAAACAAAAACATATCCCATAAACACATTAACAGAACAACAGAGAGAAACAGGGACTGAAATTTGACCCGAATTTGGAGCAGCGATTTGGTGTTTGTTTTTAGAGAGAGAGAGGAATAATGCTGAGTGACATCACCATTAAAAATAAGACTGTGGCCTGGGCCCCAGCTGGGGATCCACAGAAACACACGGCTCTGTATCGAGGGCCTGCACTGGGCCCTCAGCGCACACTGGGACTCAACTGAGCTCACCACTAACAACACACACCAAACAGGGCCCCCACAACACCAACACAATCACCACGAAACAAACACCAACTTTTCAGGCACTGTGTGTTTGCTTTATCCATCCATCTGTCTGAACCGTATCTCCTCTCTCTAACCAAGTGTTTGGTTGCGTCTCATTTGCCCACATTGTGTCAAGCTGATCAGGAGCTGGCCTGGCAGATACAGTGAGCTGCAGTCTTGTTTGTGAGATGATGCCAGGCAGAGTGAGTCACACAGTCTCAGGTGTGTGTCTCTGACTGGGAGATACCTGGGGACTTGGCATGCTGCCACTGTATTGGAGGAAGGTGAGGTCAGGGTTTATTTCTGTTGTGATGTTTCTGTTTCCCCTTCTCTTCCTTCCTGCCTGAAAAACAGCACAACACAGGCTGAAGCTAAATCCATTTCCCCCAGTCCTCCTGACACTCTCTGCAAACCCCTTCGTTCGTCCGAATCCACCCTGATCTCCACAAGGAGCTTTTAGTTTTAACCATTTCTTTCTGAACCAATCCTGGTAAATGTATATAATCTTCTTCACATCTTCTGCTTGTTTTTTCTACTGATCATTCAATCTCGTTCCTTTCTAACTCCAACTGCCTTTTATCAATCCAGAGAGCTTCAGGTCAATGACCTTTCAACAAAATTGTTAAAGAGATGGAACAGATTTTCAATAACCTAGAAATAGGGAGATGGAAATGGAAGGTCTGCAATAGGCTAGATACCAAGAGAATTAATAACAGAACAGGGGCTGCATGCATGAGAAAAGGGGAGTGTGAGTGGACAGGTCAAAACCAAAAGACTGGTTTCAAGGAGGTGAATCATCAACAAAAGCTGCTGTCCTAAAAATAAAGGAACCCAAGGTTAGAGCCTGAAATTGTTGGTGTTGGTGCTGAGTGCTGCAGTGTGAGGAATCAAGGTGGGAACGTGTACCTCAGACCCTGCAGTGAACACGAGGTCAAGGAAACTGTGGGAGTGAGGTCAATTAAACTGGGACAGCACCAGAGGACCATGGTCACCATCACAGACTGGGCAGAACTCCCCAGGACAACCTTCCTCAGATGTACACAGTCATGTGGAGGAGACCAGATAGTGAGCAGCTAATGAAATGAAAGTAACCATAAATCACTGTTCCACCCAGAAGGAGAGTTTGTAGTCTTGGACAGTGAGAAGGTTTGTTGCTGTTTTGCAGAGCCCATCCTTCTGAGGGGTTGGAGACATTTGGAAACTGATGAATTCTCGGACTTGGCTCAATCCTGATTGTCTTTTGTTGACAGGAAATGACCTGTTCCTGGTGGCAGTGCATGAATTAGGCCACGCCCTAGGCCTGGAACATTCCAATGATCCCAGTGCGATCATGGCTCCCTTTTATCAGTACATGGATACTGAAAACTTCAAACTACCACAGGATGATCTACAGGGCATCCAGAAGATTTACGGTTTGTAATGTAAACATGCACCTTTCCATTTCTCTCCATCAGTCTGAATTAAAGCACTTACAAAAACAGAATTGGCTGATAAAGCTCAACAGGTCTGGCAGCATCTGTGAAGAAAAACAGAGTTAACGTTTTGGTTTTGATGACCCAGCAACTTCTGTTTATGTTCTTGATTTACAGCATCCCCAGTTCTTTTGTGTTTTTATTTGAATTAAAGCACTTGCCCAGAGTGTCATGTACCACCCTGTACCTGTGGAGCACTGTCCCACTGACCAAGGGAGGCATCTCACTGGCACTGTCCTCCAGTGCAACTGATTTCAACATTGACACATCTAGTCCATGGATCGCATTGTGTGACCATGTTACAGATTCAGGATTTGCAGAGACTTGGTCTATTACTGAACTTGATACTCTGACAATTTCTCTCCACCTGAGAATGCCTTCCCTTTGTAAATCACTGTCTCTCTGTTGCCCAACTCTCCTCCTTCACTGTAACACCATGTGACAGGCTTCCCCAAAAATAACTGGAGAAAAAGGAGGCCCACTGAGCCTGTTCTGCATATTTTAATGAGATCAGATTAATTAACTCTTGAATAACTACAATCTGAAGGGGGAAGGATTGGGAGGACACCATTGCTGGTCAGGCAGGGGACAGGGGTGTCTGTGGACGTAGGGAGCTGTGAAGGGGGAGGGGCTGGAAAACAAAATCTGTGCCTGATATCTCCTGAATTTCCATTGGGAGCCCCGTCTTCAGCTTCAAACCCCCTACAGCTGCTCCAATCTTATTCTCCTGCTTCGAAGTTGAGTTTTAGCAGTTGCTGGGGTGAAGTTACAGGAATTGGATTTGGGGTTTGCTCTGGGTTTGTACAGACAGACAGATGGTTGGTAATGTATTTCCATTGCAGCAATGATTCTCTGTCTCATCATCACCAGGTCCCCCGACTGAGATCCTGGAACCTACAAGACCCCTGCCGACCATCTCCGCTCGCAGGATTCACTCCACCTCCGAAAGGAAACATGACCGACAATCCCGACCCCCTCGGCCCCCTTCTGGGGAGAGACCTTCCTACCCTGGCTCCAAACCCAACATCTGCGATGGACATTTCAACACAGTGGCTTTGTTCCGAGGGGAAATGTTTGTCTTCAAGGTAAATGCTCTGAAATAGTCATGAGTTTAAAAAAAAAAGTAGGAATTTTTGTTCAGGTCATTATTTGGACTGTGAGTTTGGAATGTGCTGACAATCCAGCCCCACTATCCCACCATTAGTGAGGCTTCAATCACCAAAATAGCCCATGGTTTCTCCTTTGTCCCACAATCCGGGAGAAGAGACCTTAACCAGGCTGCTTTAATGAGCCCAGAATAATCACTTTGTTAAAACATCGATCTTATTCTTAAAACAAGTGGCTAACTTTGGTTGACATTGAAAATATAACCTGGAATTAGAACTATATCAATTTACTCACACACAGGCACACTCTCGCAACATAAAAACACAAGCTTCCACAGAGACAATTTGTTTTTTAGAAAAAGATGCAAAACGGGAACAAGTAGCCCTCTTGGCCATGGGTCTGGAAACAAAGGATAAAATAAATGTGGCAACTTTCCACATCCCTGTCTCCTGCTGATGATTGCTGTCAACTGGAGATAAATACCCAGTTCTGATTCCAAACCAACTTGGGTTTGAGTTTCTAGAATGTGGTCACGGTCCAGCTTCTCAGGTTTTACCAGGCGGACAGAAGGACATTGAAAACTTCTTTATATTCCCAGAAACTTCTGGTGAGAACAGGATTTTGTGAGATTCCAGCAGCTTCAGGACGGTCCTCCTTACTCTGACCCCCAGGGGTCTGTAACAGAATGTCTAAATCCAGACAGAGTTACTCATAACCATTAGAGTTCAGGCCCTCAACTTGCACTTTTTCAGTAGTTAAGACAATAAACAATCTCTTATCTCCTTGAAAGCTTTGCTTAGCTGTTTCTCCAAAGTCACTTGATTTCCGGTAAACAACAGGACACTTTAAATTAATGGCTTCATTTCTAAGAAATCACATGAAAGCAATTTCAAACCCACAAATGTCCAAACAGTTAGAAAATCTCCCTGTCTTTTTTCATATAATCCTTAAAGATGTATTCCCAATGCCAACTGCAGACATTCAGGGTGTATGAGACAAAATGCTGTACCTCTCAAGAGGAGTATCCACACCTCCTGCCTTGAATTTGCTGCAATCTCAGATGAAATTGAAAATGTGAACTGTTCCTGAGTGAAGGAGTAACTGTTGAACCGCTGAAGAGTGGATGAAGAGTTTAGAGTGGGTAAGAACCAAAGTGGTGGACCTGGCACTGGAGCTGGAGTTGGAAAGGGATTGTTTTATTGATAGTGCTGGGGTAGGAATGGGATTGAGCTGAGCTGTTCCCAGTGTGGAGACTTGTGACCAGGTCTGTGCTTACACTCTGACAGTGTCTCCAAACCAAGACAAAGGTCATTGAGGAAAACATCCTCGAGGCTTTCCGAACACGTGGCTGTAACAGTCATTTCTTTTCACAGGATCGTTGGTTCTGGCGCCTTCGCAATAACCGAGTACAGGAGGGTTACCCGATGCAGATCGAGCAATTCTGGAAAGGACTCCCAACCCGTATCGATGCAGCATATGAAAGATCAGATGGAAAATTTGTTTTCTTTAAAGGTAAGATTGATTCATAACCATTAAATCAGAAATGTAATGATAACATTGAGGCGGCACGGTGGCTCAGTGGTTAGCACTGCTACCTCACAGCGCCAGGGACCCGGGTTCAATTCCACCCTCGGGCAACTGTCTGTGTGGAGTTTGCACATTCTCGCTGTGTCTGCATGGGTTTCTTCCGGGTGCTCCGGTTTCCTCCCACAGTCCAAAGATGTGCAGGTTAGGTGGATTGGCTGTGCTAAATTGCCCATTGTGTTCAGGGATGTTTAGGTTAGCCATGGGAAATGCAGGGTTACAGGGATAGGGTAGGGAATGGGTCTGGGTCTTGGTGGGATGATCTGCAGAGGGTCAGTGTGGATTTGTTGGGCCGAATAGCCTGTTCCTACACTGTAGGGATTCTATTCTAAAAACATTGGTCCATTGTATCGATCGGTCTGCGCAAGCTCCCTGTTCCAGTCTTAGCAATAGTAATTGAGAGCTGGAATAGTGAAGATTCTGAAGATCTACAGTATTATCTGAGAAATGAAGAAAATTAATGTGAATGCAGGATGATTAACATCAAATAGGAGCAGAGGGAGATAGAGAAGAGCAGAATATTTTCTGATTCATTCCTCAAAAAACAGATTGCTGGAGGTTTACTCCAGTCAGAGTCACTGCCACATTACTGCCTGCTACTTGGAGCCTGGGTCACCTTTGTCTGTAGAGGGACTACACTTCAAATTCTTTGCTGCTTCCATTTTCACTGACACCAGCTTGAATGTAACTCAGTACAGTGACCTGAGACTTTGTGAATATGGGGCCTGGACAAGTAACAAGCCCAATATTTGGGGACAGCCATTTTGATGGAAGAGTTGACCATTGACCCTAGCAAAGGGAATAATTGGGGAATTCCCAGGCTGCTGGGACAATGAATGACTTGTGCACTCACTGAGATATGATGTCCAAATCTGGTCTTCACCAATTAACAATGAGCCAGGCCAGATACACAGGAGCAGAATTAGGCCATTCAGCCCTTCAAGTCTGCTCCATTTTTCAATCATGGCTGATATATTTCTCAACCTCATCCTAATGTTTTCTCCCAGTAACGTTGATCCCCTTACTATTCAAGACCCTATCTATCTCGGTCTTAAACACACTCAATGATTTGGTCTCCACAGCCCTCTGCAGCAATGAGCTCCACAGATTCACCACCCTCTGGCTGAAGAAATTCTTCCTCATCTCAGTTCTAAAGGGTTGTCCCTTCACTCTGAGCCTGTCCCCTTGGATCCTAGTCTCTCCTATGAGTGGAAACATCTTCTCCACGTCCACTGTATACAGGGCTGTCAATACTCTGTAAGTTTCAATCAGATCCCCGTCATCCTTCTAAACTCCATCGAGTACAGACCCAGAGTCCTCACATCTCCTCCCATGACAAGCCCTTCACCCCAGGATCATTCTTGTAAACCTCATGTGGACCCCCTCCAATGCCAGCACGTTCTTCCTTAGATAGGGGGCCCAAAATTGCTCACAGTATTCCAAATGCGGTCTGACCACAGCCTTATACAGCCTCAGCAATACATCTCTGCTCATGTATTCCAGCCCTCTTAAAATGAATGCTAACATTGCTTTTCCTTCCTAACTGCCAACTGAAACTGCATGTTAACCTTAAGAGAATTCTGAACCCAGGCTCCTAAGTCCTTTTGTGTTTCAGATTTCCGAAGCCTTTCCCTGTTTAGAAAATAGTCTGTGCCTCTATTCTTCCTACCAAAGTCCATAACCTCACACTTCCCCACATTATATTCCATCTGCCACTTTCTTTGCCCACTCTCCTAGCCTATCCAAGTCCTCCTGCAGTCTCCTCACTTCTTCAACATGACCTGTCCCACCAACTATCTTTGTGTCATCTGCAAACTTAGTAACAATGCTGTCAGTTCCTTCGTCCAGATCATTGTGTGTAAAGTGAATAATTCTGGTCCCAACACTGACCCCTGTGGAACTCCACTAGTCACCGACTGCCATCCTGAAAAGACCCCGTTATTCCCACTCCCTGCCTTCTGCCAGTTAGCCAGTCCTCTGTCCATGCCAGTACCTTACCCCTAACACCATGTGCTCTTATCGTATTTACAACCTCCTGTGGCACCTTGTCAAAGACCTTCTGGAAATCCAAATAGATCATGTCCGCTGCCTCTCCTTTGTCTAACTTGTTCATCACCTCCACAAAGAATTCTAACAAATTTGTCAGGCATGGCCTCCCCTTGACAAAGCTGTGCTGACTCAGTCCCATTTTACCATGCACTTCCAAGTACTTTGCAATCTCATCCTTAATAATGGACTCTAAAACCTGAACAACAACAATGGAAGTTGGGCCAGCGGCCTATAGTTTCCTGTCTTCTGCCTCCTTCTTTCTTGAACAGAGGTGTGACATCCGCCATTTTCCATTCCCCTGGCAACTTTCCTCCCCGTCTCCAGTGATTCCTGAAAGATCATCACCAATGCCTCTACAATCCCTCAGCGATCCCCTTCAGAACTCTGGGGTATAGTCCATCATGTCCAGGTGATTTAGCCACCTTCAGACCTTTCAGCTTCCCCAGCACCTTCTCCTCAGTGATGGCCACTATACGCACCTCTGCCCCCGACTCTCTTAAAGTTCTGGTACGTTGCTGGTGCCTTCCCCTGTGAAAACTGATGCAAAGTTCCTATTCAGTTCCTCCACCATTTCTATGTTCCCCATTACCACTTCTCCAGCCTCATTCTCCAGCGGTACAATGCCTACTCTTGTCTCTCCCTTACTTTTAAATATCTTAAAAAAGACCTGTTCAATCTCGTTTTACATTACTAGCTCCTTAAAGTCATATTTCATTTTCTCTGCTTATTGCTTATTTTATTGTACTCGGCTGGTTTTTTAAAGCTTCCCAATCCTGTGGTTTCCCACTAATCTTTATCACATTGGACGCTTTTTCTTTCACTTTTACACTGTCCCTGACCTCCCTTGTCAGCCATGGCTCCCTCATCCTCCCCTTAGTGTCTTTCTTTCTCCTTGGGATGATTTGCTGCTGTGCCTCCCAAATTCCCCCAGAAGCTCCTGCCATTGCTGTTCCACCGTCTTCCCTGCTAGGCTCCCCTTCCAATCAACTCTGACCAGCTCCTCCCTCATGTCTTTGTAGTTACCTTTACTCAATTGTAATACCGTTACATCTGATTCCAGCTTCTCCTTCTCAAACTGCAGGGTGAATTCTATCGTATTATGATCACCAACCCCTGGGTATCCTTCACCTTTGGCTTCCTATTCAAGTTTATTTCATTACACATCACCAAATCCAGAATTGCCTGTTCCCTAGTGGGCTCTACCACAAGCTGCTCAAAAAACATTTTGTAGACATTTCATGAATTCCTTTTTTCTTGAGATCTGCTACCAACCTAATTTTCCCAGTTCACCTGCATATTGAAGTCCCCATTATTATTGTAAGAGACTTTTCTGATATACCTTTTCTATCTCCTGAATTAATTTCTTCCCAAATCCTGACTATTGCTAGGAGGCCTGTACACTACTCCCATCAGGGTCTTTTTCCCTTTGCGGCTCCTTGTCTTTACCTGCACAGAATCTGTATCACTTCTTGCTATTGATTTAATTTAGTTTCTTACTAACAAGGCAACTCCGACCCCTGCCCATCTGCCTGGCCTTTCAATAGAACGTGTACCCTTGGATACTTAGTTCCCAGCTCTGATCCCCTTGCAGCCACTTCTCTGTCAATTTCAATCTGTACTACAAGCTCATTTACCTTGTTTCGTATATTGCGTGTATTTAAGTACAACACCCTCAGTCCTCTGACTGCCTCCTCAAGCCCCTTCTCTGCTGTGCTTAAAGTTAAAGTTAGATTCCTGATGCTTCCCATATTCTCCATCCTATTACCAGTTCTGGAAACTTTAATAACCTCTGCTGAGCACTTCCTCCTTTAGCTTCTTCCATAATTTTCCATGCCACTGAACTCAGTGGTGCACTTTATCCTGTTTTGGTTCCAAACCCTTCCTTGGACATTTGAATATTTGTAGTTGAGATAGAGACACTGATCCTTATTGTCTGTGCAAAGACCAGTTCCCGTAAAGCCTCTCAGACCTGTGTATGTGGCTGTGGGAGAGTACACGTGTGTCTGTGTGTATGTGGGTGTGTACGTGGGTGTGTCTGTGTGTATGTGGGTGTGTACAAAGAACAAAGAAAATTACAGCACAGGAACAGGCCCTTCGGCCCTCCAAGCCTGCGCTGATCCAGATCCTCTATCTAAACCTGTCGCCTATTTTCCAAGGATCTGTATCCCTCTACTCCCTGCCCATTCATGTCTCTGTCTAGATACATCTTAAATGATGCTATCACGCCCACCTCTACCACCTCCGCTGGCAACATGTAACAGGCACCCACCACCCTCTGCGTAAAGAACTTTCCATGCATATCTCCCTTAAACTTTTCCCCTCTCACCTTGAAATCGTGACCCCTAGTAATTGAGTCCCCCACTCTGGGAAAAAAACTTCTTGCTATCCACCCTGTCTATACCTCTCATGACTTTGTAGCAACCTCTGTCTTTCTAATGTAAATAATCCTAATCTACTCAACCTCTCTTCATAGCTAGCGCCCTCCATACGAGGCAACATCCTGGTGAACCTCCTCTGCACCCTCTCCAAAGCATCCACATCCTTTCGGTAATGTGGCGACCAGAACTGTACGCAGTATTCCAAACGTGGTCGAACCAAAGTCCTATACAACTGTAACATGACCTGCCAACTCTTGTACTCAATACCCCGTCCGATGAATGAAAGCATACCGTATGCCTTCTTGACCACTCTGACGACCTGTGTTGCCACCTTCAGGGTACAATGGACCTGAACACCCAGATCTCTCTGTGCATCAATTTTCCCCAGGGCTTTTCCATTTACCATATAGTTCGCTCTTGAATTGGATCTTCCAAAATGCATCACCTCGCATTTGCCTGGATTGAACTCCATCTGCCATTTCTCCACCCAACTCTCCAATC